TTGAATGGTGTTGACTTGAATGTAGTTGACTTGAATCATCATCAAAATCATCTCTTAGAAATGCAGGAACATTTCCATCAATCTCCCCCTCATTGATTTCATAATGTACTCATTGGAGGGAATCAATGTAATAGGTCCAGTGATCCTTACAACCTCTTTGGACTTTTTACTTTTCTATTTTATCATTTTGACCGAACAATTACAAAATATATTTCAGGAACTATACTATTATATGACATGGTCTAAATAATTATCGTATAATTTTATTATTATTATTATTATTAAGTAATTTATAATCATAACTCCTACGGATATTTGTGAATGTACACATTTTTAATTAGAATTTTTTTATTCTTTTTTCTATTATAACAAATGAATAAAATAAAATTTAAAAACATGATAATAATTTATTTTTAAGTGAAATAATAGAAAATAAATTAACTAGGTCAAAATTACGAGTTTTACTGATGAAGAACAAAATATTTAATGTATTTTGATTCATATCTAAACATTTCGTGTATTTCCTATCCCTAAATAATATAACGAAGACATTTTTAATATAAGCAACTCACTTAAGTTACATTTTATCTTAAAAAAATATAAAATAAGAATTTATGATGATATATTATTTTTAAGTAAATTATTTATTGATATTTCTTTATCTCACTAATAAGAGTGATTTATTGAGATAAAATATTAGTTATTTAAAATAAATTTTGATTAGAGAAATCTTATGACGTATGATACATTGAAGACAGAATAATTTTTTTAAAATTTATTAAAAAAGTTTCTAATAGACTAAAATTAATAATGAATTACGTGATTATATTTTTTAATATAAAAAGATGTAAATTCTTCTTGTGTATTGGTAGTACCTTCTCATTCTTTCTTCTTATTTATTATTATTTATTTATTTTTCTTTATTTATTATTATTTATTTAATTTTGTAGTTGATTGATAAAATAGTCAAAATAATTTAAATAATGGAGATCTTAATAAGAATTACTTAAAAATAAAAAATATTTTATTATTAATCTTACAAATAAATTACTTAAAAATTAATTAAAGTTACTTGTATAAATAATTTTTTTTTTAATTTTAAATAACTCATTTAAGAGACTTATAATAAAATATTTTTATATACCAATAACATAGAATTTTTTTAATAAAAAATTATTTTAAATAACTAATATTTTATTTAAATATATCAATAAATAATTCTCATTCAAAATATTCTATCTTACAAAACTTTTTAGGATATTAGTTGTTATACACGTATATTTATAAATTAATTTCAAATATTAATACTAACTATAAAAGTTTATTTTCTTTATGTGTTATGAATCTTTAAATTATTTGACTCTTTCATCAATATTGTTGGCTTACTTTCTTCCACTAAGGATCACAAATTTATTTCTTTTATTTAATTTTGGTTGATTTTCATATCATTTAGAATAATCATAAATACTTTTTTAATTTATATATTTTTTGAATTTTTTTAGAAGAAATTAAAGATTAAGATAAATAGTAGTTACAAACACGTTTTAATAAAATAAAAGTTATGTTTGTAATCATGACCTCATCTTTTGTATATATATTTGTAAATTTTATAACACAATTTTATGTTGAGTATAGGTCTGTGTTGTACATAACTTTCATGGTTAATTTTATTAATTAGAGTATAAGTTATATTATGTAAGACAGTTTTCTTATTTTATATAATTAAAGTTTACTTCATAGTTGTTGTGAATCATCACTAGGTTGCCACGTATTCATTATTTTTCACCTACGTGAACGTGGCATGTTCATCCATCTAGAAATTAGATATGTTTTTTTATCAATGAATTCAATATTTATCGTACATAAAAAACAAATAAAATATATTTTTATGCTTTCACATTTTCATATAAATGAAAATTACATAAGAAAAAAAATTAGTTATTGTTTAATAATTTTTAATTATAAAAAAAATATTAGTATGCATCACGGTTTCTAATTATATCAGAAAATAAAATAAAATAAAATTGTTACATATCATAATTCTTTACTAGTTAAAAAATAAAATTAATTTTGAAGTCATGTTATTAACATGACTTATATTTCAGTCAAAATTTCTTAAAATGATATTACATAACATACAACATAAGTTCATGAAAACAAACTTGAAAATGTGTTTTACATACACATTTTTTTAATGAATCCATACTTGAAAATACAATTTACTTAAATTTAAATAATATTTTAAAAAATTATCCAAATCTGTATATAAAAAAAAAAACTATTTTGATTTTTTATTAAGTTAACATGTTTTCCTAATGCATCTTAATATCAGTTACCATAAGTGTAAAAATCTGATTACTGTATTTATTCTGTACATTTCAAACCTGTTTAACCATGCAATTCTTCTGTAACAGATGTGGTAAAAATATTTACACTATTTTCTATCTTTAAAAACTCATTCAACCAATTCACATCTTTCAAAAAAATTAGTTGAAAATGATAAGTTTATCACTAAGTTGTATTATTTTTCCATAATTGAAGTTAAAATATTTTCTTTAGTAAATTCTTTCAAATATTTAATTATGGATATTTTAGAAAAAAAATAGTGCATACAAAAAATCTTATAAACAAACATTAATTTTAAATGGATTTTATAAATGGAGTATCTAATTGTTTAAACAGATATTACTAACAATTTTTTAAAGTTATTGTGTAAATCTCATATTACATAATTTTTTACACCTTCTCATTTTAATGAATATAAAACAATTAAATATTTTAATTTCATAAACTATTTAGATAGTGATGTTCCTCTAAAAACTACTTAAAAAAATAAAATATTAAAAACGAAATTATTAATTTATTTTTGAAATTTTAAAGAATCTAAATAATAACTTTTTTAAAAAATTTGTCGCCTTACATAAAGAAATACATTTGTTTCGTTTTAGAAATAAAAATTTTCATATTAATTATATATTTTAGGTATTATTTTTTATAATTTTAATTTTTTATAATTTTATTTTTAAAAATACTTTAATAAATTAAAATTATATATATATATATATATATATATAATTTTTTTTATTTTAATTTTAAACTAAGACTTTTTTACATTCTGAAAATCAGAAAACGTTGATCTATAATTCTTTCCAACAAAATAAGCATAAATTCTGAAATTTCATGACCTTTCCTTATAAGTGGTTGTCCTGTGAGAAGATAAAAGAAGAAAGGAACCGATACGGGAAACACTTAAAAATAACATAAATTAGCGTAGTTATGAAATTTTAAGAGGTGCAAGTGCTCTAACAAAAGGTTTTGAGCTTCGCTCCACTTTAGTTTCCCAAGCATATGAGTTCGGTGTGTTAGAAGGATATGATAGCTTCACCGCTTTTCCTTCTTGAAGTTTGGAAAAGATATTTACACCAACAATTTCATCATCAAAGCGGTGAGATGAGAAGATGCTACCAATTAACGAAAACAATAATATGAAATGATTTTACATTCAAAGTTTTAAATTAATAAATTCATATCTTATTTTATATTATTCACCTTCATAAATTATATTCAAATTATTTTTATTGAATATTTTATTAAGTTTATAAATAATACAAAGTTAATTAAGAGAGATAATATTGAGTAATTAAAATTTACTAAATATATTATTTTTTCTTACATGTGTTAATTATATAACGAAAAAGATCGAATCTTCAAAATAAGAGTACCAAAATAATAAATTTGGGACTGTTACATGTTCTGTTTGGGATAAGTAGAGAAAAAATGCACAAAAATTATCCCAAAACTGAGATTAACAATTTCACTTAAAGCACAACTATGCACAAAATATAGATTAATTTCACTTAAACTATAAGTATCTATTGACACATTTGTTATGTTTTTTTTATATATATAAATGTTTCTTTAATTTAAGATATTAAATAAAATAAGTGTTTATGTTTTTTTTTTATGAAAGTCTTTGAAACTTATGGAGTAACATATTTGGTATTATTGTTGGGTGATTAATTTAAAAGAAGTCAAAAGAAACTAATTGAGAAATAACATTATTAAATTGTTTTAAAGGTTATTTCAATATTCCTAAATTATACGAAATTTATTATTATCCCCAAACTCTTCTAAAAGCATCTTTTTTATTATTATAACTTGTTTTCACACAAATATCCATGAGATGAAAATTGTTTAATTTGATTATATTTTAAATAGTATAAATTTAATATTATATTTGGGTAAATTATTTTATAAATATCTATATTTAAAAAATACACCTCTTTTTACAACATGCATAAATTCTTAATTCTTACATATTTATTTATACTTTATTTTTCACATTTTTACTAAAATTAAGAAACTCTCTTATAAAAAAAAGTTTATCACAACGTGATGAGAACATAAAAATACTTTGAGATACAATAAAATCTAAAAACAACGAGAATAATAGAACTTTATTAATGAAATGCATGAACTATTTAAATCAATATCTACCATGGATTTGTTCCAGTTTTATGAATAAATATTTAAGTAAATAATAATAATATATAAATTCTAAACATTAAAACCTTATTTTATTTAAATTTAGTCACAAACTATTATTTTTATTTTTTATACATAGCTATTATTTAATTACTGGTAATAGAATAATAATTTTGTTGTAAGTTTAGTTGACGAGTAATTAAACGGAGCGGATGTCTGAGGGATAAAATATGCGAAGGACACGGCAGTCATTTTGAAAAAAGTGTAAGGACGAAAATAGGCTTATGTCCTGTTCGTTGGTGTTTAATTGTGGCGACCCCGTTTTATAGAGCAGAAATGCGGGAGGGAGTGTGAGATGAAAGAAGCATCCCATCGCATATCATGAGAGTAGGGAGACACCAGTTTGAAGTAACAGGGAAAAGAATAAACATGGACCAAGTTTCGCTATCAACACTATAGAGAGTGACACAGCAGAGCCAAACCCAACCCAAACACAGAACAAAGTAAAAGAAAAAATGACGACGGGTGTAGTACGCGACCAGAACCTGGAGAAACACATTCACAAGCAGATGGGATGCATGGCCGGGTTTCTTCAGATCTTCGATCGCCACCAGCTACTCACCGGAAAGCGCATCTACTCGCCCAAACGTCTCCCTCCTGTAATGCCTCTCACTCCCTACCGCACCTTCCTCATTCACGCTTCAGACAACCTGACTGTCTTTCTCTTCTCTTTTGCAGGCCTCACCGGAGTCCAACAAACCCACTGCTTCGCCGGTGCGTTCTGTGCAGTCTCCGGCGAGAGAGGCCGTCCAATCAGAACCCAAGGTAAGTGCTCCCGCACTCCCTGTTCTGGAATTCAAGGAAGGCACACGGTCCTCGTGGAAGTTTTCGCGAGAGGCTCCCCGCCTGTCCCTTGACAGCAGAGCCATGGTAGATGCGAAGGGGACGCTGCACCTTCACCCGCGCGAGATCCCCTCAGAAAACGACGGAGATAAACAGCGTCGTTCCACCAGTGTCATTGCGAAGCTCATGGGCCTGGAGCCTTTGCCCGATTCAGAGCCCGGGCCCGTGGCGAAGCTGCAGAGATCCGCGTCTGAGTCGAGAGTGTCCAGAGATCTGCCCCTGCCACAGTGTCGTTTCTTTGACCCAAACAATCTTTCAAGCAGGGTTCAGGTCACCAATGTGGTCCACGAGAATAATGACGCTGCCATCCATGCCCGATTGGGCAATGACAGAGCCGCAGATCCACCCAGACAGAGGGCCAAGAAGAGCTTTTACGATTCCGCTGATTTCTTCCCTGAACCTAAGCACACCGTTTCGGTATACGGAGAGATTGAACGGAGATTGCGGATGCGAGGGATTAACGAGCCTTCCAAGGATCTCCACACTCTCAAACACATCCTAGAGGCCTTGCAGCTCAAGGGGCTTTTGCATTCCAACAACAAACCCAACCACTCTCCCACTGTCGTTATGAAACCGGTTCGATCAGTTAACCGGACCGGAAACGATTCTCCTCCTCCTCCCCTCCGGTCTAGTCCTCGCCGGAGCATCCGGGTTGGGGGCGAGGGTCATAGGAATGACCAAAATGAAGGGAGTGGAAGGAGTCAAAGTGGCAGAGCGCAGAGCTCGAGTCCTAACAGGAGGAGGCAGCAACACGTAGAACCGCAGAGGAAAGTGGGTGTTGATTGGAGAAGGGGGTCTGTGTCTGTGTCTCCGGTTCATTCTCCCAAGGTGAGTCCGAGAAGGAATGCAGGCAATCAGCAGGTGCCATGTGGATCGCCTAGGATGAGAAAAAATGTTGAGCGAAAGGAGAAAATGTTGGGTGGGGCAGAGGATGAATCGACCACAGTTTCAGAGAACAGCTTCAGCACCTCTTCATATCCTGATACAGAGGTAAACTACTATACTAAACTAACAGAGTAGTAATACTAGTAACTGTTATGTTACTGGTGGTCATTTAATTTCTGTAGCATAGCAAGCTTTTAATTAATTAATTAATTACTTAGTTAATTGATGGTGGACATTGGATTGAACGGTCCTGCATGTGGTGCAGAGGTACAGGTTGGAAGAGTACAAGGAGGGAAAAGATCTGCTGGATAGGTGTGATAAGCTGCTGAGCAGCATAGCAGAAATAACATCAGCCAACGAGTTGCAACCGAGTCCAGTATCGGTTCTGGACTCGTCGTTTTACAAGGACGACTGGTGCTCACCATCCCCGATGACCAAACGCTGCATTGATTACAAAGGTGAGTGGGGACTGAGGGAGACGTTTATTTACCAAACTTGCTGCTTAGCTTCTGCTGCAATTGGTTACAGAATGGAATTAGATTTTGTGGTGACGTCTTATTTGTTTTTGCTTACCCAAAGTTGGGAGAATGTCATAATGTAGCATGTCTATTGTCTAAGACCCTAACGTAACGTAATGGGAGTAAATATATGTTGTTTGTCCAGGCCTTTTATTTTTAAGCTGCTACCGTTTTGCTTTTGCTTTGGTTTGTTTCCAACTACAAGTACGAGAACAGTGGATGGTTTGTCCTCTCCCTCTCCCAAAGTCCCAACCAATGTGGACCAATCATTTGATCCCAGGGATGTTGACATGGCATCACCCAGTTGGCTCATTCACTTACCTCAAACCTGCACTGCACTGCGGTGCTGTGCGGTGCGGTGCCTGTTTTTAATCGTACCATCACGTGGGAGAGACTGACTCACCTTGCCTCCTCAACGATCTCACCGTCCCAAAGAATCTTCCCAATTTTTTAATTCCGCTTATTTTTCTAACATACTGTGGACAGTTTTTTAGTATTTTGTTTTTTCAAATACATTAATCTTGTATTTGTTAGTTAATGACGATGATGGAGATGTTGATAATAAATTTGGTGTAATTACGTTACAGATCAAGCGGCGGAGTCAGAAGATGATATGTGGAGTGCGGCTTTGTGCAGCAGCGAGGAGGCAGCGTCGGAGGATTGCGATTTCGTTTACGTATCGGAGATTCTTCGAGCGTGCAGTTACTTGCCGGAAGAGAGCGACGTTTTCCTGTTATTGGAGAAGCAGCAATGTCTGAAAGGAAAGGATACCTCAAAGGCTTCGACGCTGCAGAGGCGGTTGATTTTCGACACTCTCCAGGAGATACTAGAGCGGAACCATCAGTTGCCGCCGTGGAAGGCAGTTTCGTGCGGCGAGCCAAGGCAACAGATCTGGTCGGAGTTTCGGAGGATCCGAGAGAGGGAAGAATCAGAGTCGGAGGACTTGTTCAAGGTTATATGCGGAGTGTTGAAGAAGGACATGGCAGAGGAGATGGGGTGGGGAGAATGGGCGGTGGAGATGGGAGATGTGGTGTTAGACATTGAACGTCTCGTGTTTAAAGATCTCGTTGGCGAAACCATTCGAGAACTCGCTTTGTTTTCTCCTCAATGTAACAACCATAACCACCTACCCGCCCTTCGTAGGAAACTCCACTTTTGAATTCCAATCGAAAACATAAAAAAAAAAAAGAGCAAAAGAGTCGCACGCTTTGTTTAAATTTTCGTGCGCTTGCTTTTTTTTTTTTCCTTTTTTAGCTTGGTTTTCTATGATTTTACTTTTATTTCTGTCAATGACGAAATCAGGAATTTTAAATCTGAAATCTAGGCGAATCTGGGCTTTCTTCCGTATAGAGATGAATGAATTGTTGGATTATTTTTTATGATTATATTATTTTATGATATGTGGTGAGAATGGTGTGACGTGTAGTTAGTTGATTAGAACTGAAGGATATAAATGTTGCTACGCACAATGCTAATTATCGATGAGGATGTCAAAAAATATATGAACCAGGAGAGAAAAAAAACTTTTGTTTTATTCACACGTTAGCAATGGATGAAGTTTTCAACGAAATTGCATGTGTGTTTGCTTATAAGTGAAGTTGTGTTACTCTAAACTAATTAATAATGATTGGATGTTTCTTGCCCTTAATTTGGTCCTACAACTCCAAATCAAGGTCACTAAACGGTAGTGGAGCGGCTACGCACAGCCGAACCACTGTTTTTTTTGTTTTTTGTACAGCTTGGAAACCGTCTGCAACTCGTGATGATGACATACAAACTTTTTCCACTTTTCACGCTTTCATTTATCAACTCTTATTGGATGAGACATGTTAATACATAGGAACAATTCGAGAAGACTTCTATCCAATAACTTTTATTACACACCACATTTACAAGCCTTCACATATAATTACATTGATGTGTTGGGATTAGTTCAGATGAATACATTATAGAAATGGGGTAAAAAATGAAACCAGTGAAAACATGGAAATATCCATCATACTGTATGATGTTAGTATTATGGTGCTTGATTTAGTCCCACATCGATTAGAATTGTGAGATGAGGTTCTCTATTTTGTTATATAAGCAACCCTATGTAAAGTTTGAGATATACACAGAAATAAAAATACTTCCTAGTGTAGTCGTGGACGTAGGCATACATATTTTAGCCGAACCACGTTAAAATTCTTGTGTCGTTTATTTTTCTCTCCTTCATTCTTTCCTTTATTATTGTCTTGTTCCTAACAATTGGTATCAAGAGCCAATTTTCTTAGTATGCTCTGTGGTTGCAGCTTTGTCTGATCTTCCACATCGAAAAGATTTGGTCTTTTTCTTGGGAATCTCGGTTTAGAGAAGCAGTGGGAGCTTTCTTCGAAAGCGATGAGAGCAATGACATTGGAAGAAGGAAAGGTGAGGATCGAGAAGTTCGATGGCGGTGACTTCGGTTCCGGAAGATGCAGATGGAAGATTATCTCGTATCGAAGAAGTTGTATCTACCCTTGACAGGACGAAGCCAACCGACATGGAGCAGATCGAATGGGAGTTGTTAGATCGGTAGACGCTTGGTGTGATCCAGCTGACATTAGCCAAGAATGTTGCGTTCAACATCATGAACGAGAAGACAACCGTAGATTTGATGCAGTGCGTTGTCAAATATGTATGAGAAGCCCTCTGCAGACCAATAAAGTGCATTTGATTCGCAGTGCTAGTCAACCTCAAAATGGGTGAAGGTAACTCTGGCTACTAATCATATTAGTGAATTTAATGCAATTATTGCGCAGTTGACATCAGCTGCAGATAATATTTGATGATGAGGTGAAAGCATTAATTTTATTATCATCTCTACCGGAAAGTTGAGGTGCAATCATGCTATCGCAGTAAGTAATTCCGCAAGCAATAACAAGTTGAAGCTTGATAACATCCGTGACTTGATCTTAAGCGAAGATGTTCGCAGGAAAAATTCGAGTAAAATCTTTCAGTTCTAATTCGGGTTCAAGCATTGAGTATCGAAACTAGAGGAAGAAGTCGCCGTAAAGGTCGTAATCAAGGCCGAGGCGGATCAAAATCCAGAGGGAGATCACAAGCAAAAGTCCGGAATGATATCACTTGTTGGAATTGTCGGAAAAAGGGCCACTTTTCAAATCAGTGTAGGGCTCCAAAGAAGGACAACAACAACAACAAGAAGCAAGATGATGATCAATCGAGCAAATGCAAGAATCGATGAAGTTGAAGATGCACTCGTTATGTAGTTTAGATAATTCTATTGACTCATGGATTATGGACTCAAGTGCGTCATTTCATACTACACCTTCCTTAGAACTATTATCTAACTATGTTTCGGAAAGTTTGGGAAGGTCTACCTTGCAGATGGAAAATCTCTTGATATCATAGGAAGAGGTGATATTAACATCGGAACCTCTAATGGAAACGTGTGGACTTTGAATAATGTCAGACATATTCCAACCTTAAAGAGAAACTTAATATCTATAGGGCGGTTGGATGATGAGGGACATTACACCACTTTTGGAGATGGACATTGGAAGGTAATGAAAGGTAATCTTGTTGTTGCTCGTGGAAAGAAGCAAGGATCTCTCTACATGATTGCAGATGAGGATATGATATCGATTGCGAAGTTGGCAACAATTCCTCCTTATGGCATCGAGGCTTGGGTATATGAGTGAGAAAGGAATGAAGCTCATGATATCAAAAGGTAAAATACCTAACGTGAAGCATGTTGACGTTGGACCTTGCGAACATTGTATCTTTGGAAAGCGTAAAAAGGTTAGCTTCTCAAAAACAAGTAAGTCGTCTAAAGTTGAAAGACTAGAACTAGTGCATACGAGATGTTTGGGGGCCGGCTTCAGTGAAATCCCTTGGAGGTTCACAATATTATGTAACCTTCATTGATGACTCTACAAGAAAGGTATGGGTTTATTTTCTTAAAAATAAATCGATGTGTTTTCTCGTGTTTAAAAGGTGGAAAAAGGAGGTTGAGACTCAAACAGGTTTAAAGGTCAAATGTTTGAAGTCCGATAATGGTGGAGAATATGACAGTAGTCAATTCAAGGAGTTTTGTTCGAGAGAATGGGATCAGAATGATCAAGACAGCTCCAGGAACACCGGAACAAAACGGTGTGGCGTAAAGAATGAACAGAACCTTGAATGAGAGAGCAAGATGTATGAGAATCCAGTCAGGATTACCTAAGGTATTTTGGGCAGATGCAATAAGCACAGCAGACCTATCTCATAAACGAGAGGACCATCAGTTCCTTTAGACTATAAGTTACCCGAAGAAGTATGGTCCGGAAAAGAGGTAAATCTTTCACATCCGAAAGTTTTTGGTTGTGCTTCATATGTTATGTTAGACTCTAATAGTAGAGATAAATTGGACCCTAAGGCAAAACGTTGTTATTTCATTGGTTATGGATCCGACATGTTTGGCTACGGGTTTTGGGATGACCAAAACAAGAAAATTATCGAAGTAGAAATGTTACTTTTAATGAAAACATGTTCTATAGAGACGAGATTGCGAGATCTCGCAAATGTAAATAAACAACTAGAGCAAGTATCATTAGAAGAAATTTCGGAAAGTGATGTAATCAACCGAAGGCAGTAATATACAAGTAGAGCCTATGTCGAGCTCGAGACGGAACTCGAACAAATAGTAGAGTCAGCAACTCCCGAAATCTTGGTTAGAAGATCTAGCGGAACAATTGTAGCACCACAAAGGTATTCCCCTTCATTGCATTATTTGTTGTTGATCGATGCTCTGGTGAGCCGGAGCATTTTGCCGAGGCTATGCAGGGAGATGAATCTATTAAGTGGGAGCTAGCAATGGAAGATGAGATAAAGTCCCTTCGGAAGAATAAAACATGGTCTTTAACCAAGCTACCGGAAGGAAAGAAAGTTTTGCAAAACAGGTGGGTCTATAGGTTGAAAGAAGAACCGGATGGCGCAAAAGATATAAGGCTAGACTCGTAGTGAAAGGGTTCCAACAAAGACAAGGAATTGACTTCACGTAAATTTTCTCTCCGTTGTCAAGATGACTACCATCGGAGTTATCTTGAGTATAATAGCTGCAGAAAATCTTCATTTGGAGCAGCTTAGATGTCAAAACCGCATTCTTACATGGGGATCTTGAAGAGGAAATTTTTATGACACGACCAAAAGGTTTTGAAGTACAAGGCGGAGAAAATCTTGTATGCAAGCTTCATAAAAGTTTGTACGGATTAAAACAAGCGCCGAGACAATGGTACAAGAAGTTTAATGAGTTTATGAGAAACTCGGGATTTCGCGAGATGTGAAGAAGATCACCGTTGTTATGTGAAGAAATATGTTGATAGCTATATCATTCTTGCCTTATATGTTGACGACATGTTGATTGTTGGAGCTAATATGGCGGAAATTGACAAGTTGAAGAAATAATTGTCGGAGAGCTTTGAAATGAAGGATCTTGGTCCAGCCAAGCAAATTCTTGGTATGAGAATCTCCCGAGATAGAGATAAAGGTATTTTGAACTTATCTCAAGAAAAATTTATAGAAAAATTGCTTAGCAGATTCAATGTTGGGAATGCTAAAACCAGGAATACACCTTTGGGAACTCACTTAAAGTTTTCAAAGAGGCAATCTTCTCAAACGAAGAAGAAGAAAGTCACATGTCTAAAGTGCCATATGCATCTGCAGTAGGAAGCTTGATGTATGCTATGGTTTGCACCGGACCGGACATAGCACATGCAAGTGGGAGTTGTGAGCAGATTTCTATCAAATCCCGGAAAGGAGCATTGGGAAGGAGTGAAGTGGATATTCGGATATTTGAAAGGCACTTCAAAGATGCATTTGTCTTTCAAGAGAAGTAATCTCATTTTACAGGGGTTTTCTCGATGCGGACTTGGGAGGTGATCTTGATCGGTAGAAAGAGCACAACAAGGTTATATTTTTACATTGGGTGGTACAGCTATCGGTTGGAAGTCTAAACTTCAAGGAAGGGTCTCTCTCTCAACCACTAAAGCAGAGTATGTAGCTATCTCGTAAGCGGCGAAGGAGATGATATGGTTGAAGAACCTTCTAAAAGAATTAGGAAGAGAACAAGATGGTTCTCCGTTGTTTAGTGACAGATCAAAGTGCTATTTGTCTTGCTAAAAATCCAATCCTTCATTCCGGATGTAAGCACATTGAATTGAAGTATCATTTTATCGAAACCCGATAAATGATGGAGACTTGAGTTTGTTGAAGATTCCAGTGCGAGAGAATCCCACCGATATGTTGACCAAGACTCGTTACAACAACTAAGTTGAGGCTTTGCATTGCCTCAACCGACCTTCGAGCAAATTGATGATGAAGGCACTACACTAGGTGGTAACGTAAATCAAACTCCAAGTGGGAGAATTGTTAGTATTATGGTGCTTGATTTAGTCCCACATCGATTAGGATTGTGAGATGAGGTTCTCTATTTTGTTATATAAGCAACCCTATGTAAAGTTTGAGATATACACAGAAATAAAAATACTTCCTAGTGTAGTCGTGGACGTAGGCATACATATTTTAGCCGAATCACGTTAAAATTCTTGTGTCGTTTATTTTTCTCTCCTTCATTCTTTCCTTTATTATTGTCTTGTTCCTAACATATGAAATTATGAAATTCCTCCCATTCATGCAAAAGAATTGCCTTTCCTTTTGCCAAACCTGACTAGCTCGTCCTATCCTATCAATTCAAATTTCAACATATCCTTTTTAAAAACTCAAATTTAACACATCTAAATTGGATTAACAAAAAGCATGTTTAAATGAAATTTCGAAAATTCAGAAGTGCCCCAATCAATCACCAAAAATCTGAAAAAAATATTTAAAATGTTATAAAACGAAAATCATCCGCAGTTAAAAGAGGCAACTAATCTAGTAACTCAATGATATGATAAGCTGTGAAAATACATTGTTGTAGCAGTTTTGAACGTTGTATCAGTACAACATTGGCTTTTTATTCTGACAAAGGATAACGATAATCGAAAAATACAATGTTGCCCAGAAGGACATTAGGCTGGTTTTGAAATTACAGAATCAACCTACCTAGGGACACACCTATTAAGTTGGTTTTTGTCCAGTTTCAGGACTGCTATGAAAATGGTTTGATGCCCATATTTCCGATTGGGAAATGCCATGACAAACCTGGATATGGAGGTATCAAGGCTCTGGGGTCCTCTGTGTCTCAGTCTCAATAGTGTCTACTCTTCTTCACTCTCTTCCATAACTAAGTCAACCACGTGTCCAAATACTACACTCTCATCAATGTCCAATTAAATGGTCACAAGCAGCCTGTAAAATGAGATAGACATCATTGAAATCACACATCACATGGTTAGGTTTTCATACTAATTTCTCATCATCAATGAAAAATGTAACATCTTCCACAAACGAATGATATTGTATCAACATATGATTCATATACTTTATGGTTTATGCTTTTCATATTCTTTCTGTGCTGCTTTCTCCTATGATTCTTCTACTTTAATTCCATTTCCATCCTTAAGACGTGATAATTAATCAAAATGTTGGGCCCATTTAAGAAAGCGTGATGAGAGAACAGTTGAATGGAGCATGTACCCACTGCCCCACAATTGCTTAATCAGTTTGTTCCTTAATTAGTTACAGGATAGTTACATTAACTGCTTGATGGCAACGCTTCATCCAACGTAACTGGTTGGATCTCAAATGTAGGATGACAACAAGGACATGTTGCAGATCCAATAATTCATACTCTCACACTGCTATGCTGTGTGATAGATAGCTCCATTTCTTTTTTCTTTCCTCAATTATAGGGCGATAGATAGCAGGTACAACTTCGAAATCGAATCTACACGTTTCTGCAGTAAGCATGTGCATTTCAAGGCCTTCACAATGACCATCAAATCTCCACACTAGAGCTTAATTTCTGTACAGTACAAAAATATTATACTATCAACTACTTAGAAAGTTAACAAACTTATCATCATATATAACAAATTATGACCAGTGGCGGATCTTTTTAGGAGTTCAGGGGGGCAGTGGCCCCCCCAAAGTTTTGTAATTCCCATGTAATTTATGATTTTGGCCCCCCCAAACATAATGAGCATTTAATATATTTACTTGTATATTTACAATTTTATCCTCTCAGTCCCTCCTCAATTTTGTAACTATCATATAATTTATGATTTTGTTTCCCTCAAACTTAATGATAATTTAATATATTTAAATATATATCTACAATTTTATCTTTTTAACCTTTCATATTTTTTTTTCTTTTATATTATGACTATCATTTACATGGTTTCTTTTCATGAAATGGTTGAGCAAAAAACATCTCTAAGTAACCCTCATAGAGGATTACTTCACATGATCAAATCATAAACAATTCTACTCAATTGCAGTTATACCCACTATAAATCTTTATGAGCAGAATTCCTCCCGAAACAGAAAAAGTGACACGAATTCAAACCCACAGAAGATAAGTATTCGTATCCACTTGAATCAACCAAACAAAATCATACACACAACTTTTTCATATTATTATGCACCAAAGGTTTGGTCTTGGTGGGGCTGCGAGAATTGGGGAAGGAGCTATCTAAGCAGCACATAGTACCACAGTATATAGCAGACTTTCCAACCTTTTTTTTAATCCTACGTGGGTCATACCCTTTTCTTTCACTTTCTTTAATAAGCTTCATGGCCCATATCTTATTCATAGGTCTTCATATTCCACTGGTCTTAATTCGCCAACCCCCAACCAAATCCAAGGATTAAGGTTCTCTGTCTTGACTTTCATTTCTGAGTTTCATTCACCTTTAGCAGTGAATGAAAGAGAAGCTTTAAGCAAGAGGAAGATGGGGTTGCGTTTGTTATCCCAAAAGGGCACAAACCTAACCACGTAGGGTTGTGAGAAAGATAAATGAGGTGGCAGTCACAGAGGCACATGCTTCTGCTCAAGAACTCATTAAACCTGTCCATTCCTTGTCTTGGATCGTTGGTTGTGAGGGCTTGTGGCTACTGTTGTCTCCTCAGGCTTTGTCTCCTTCTTGGCCTTGTGATAAATGAACTTCCCAATGGCCAGCACTCGCGGGCTCTGCTTTGTTATTTCTAGTCTGTACGCATCCATGGTTAGGATCCTGTTTGATATATACGTTCATGTGTGCTAATGGAAAATTTTTGGTATGGATAGCATTGGAGGATGGCCACAACGTGAGATAAATATGGGACAATAATTGAGAAACTAGGACCCTGTCCTTCTTTTCTGAATAAGACAGATTCTTATTTTATTTTTATTGTGTTGGATAATGCACACAGACACCCTTTCCATTGGACGATCTTTCATGTACAAGTTATGGTTTGTAGAACCGAAAATGTTCAAGGTACACACCATGTGAATCGGGTGTTTCAGCGGAATAAAAGCAAGAGATAAGAAAAGAAAACAAAATAAAATGATTTTCAAATCAACACAAACCAAGTACATGAATCTAAAGATTAAATATTGTATTAGTTATTCGTTATAAAATTAGTGGCCATTGTTTCTAGTTCTTTTTTTTTTTTTTCAATTTTTAAATTTAAATTTAATATTTGTATTCTTTATCAAAGTATTTATTTAAAATCAAATTCATTTTTAGGACATGAAATATAGAAAGATAAGATGATATTAATTCAATTTTGTAAAAGTATAAAATTACTAATAAGATATATTTTGTATTATATAAACTATTATCTATTAATGGAGAAAGTTATATGATTGATAAATAATTATTTGAATAATATATGACACCAAGTCAAAGACTCAAAATATATCCCAAATTCATCTTCAAAATATATCAAATTGATATTCTAAAATTAAAACCTGTTAAAAATAATTTGGATATAATATTATATTTAAAATCCAACTTAAAATTGAATTTAACGTTAAATCTTATTATTATTATTAGTAGTACTATTATTATTAATTTACATATTTACAGTTAATATTTTAATAAAAAATCATTCATATAGTTTCATCTACACTATTTTTTATTTGTTAATAAATATTTTTTTAAAAATAAAGGAGATCGGAATAATTACAACATAAAATTATATTATGTATTTCAACTTTTAGCAAACTCTTTTTTTTTTTTTTATAACTTTCAATTAATTTATTAGTTTTTTTAAATGTATTCATAGAGTATATTGTTTGAATTTAAAATTATCAAACATACAATTGGATTCTTTACGAAATCACTTATATTTAACATTATGAATAAGGTCATAGAAATTAAGATTTATAGAAAATGGTAGGGTTGTGTAATGGGGTGTGGTTGTTTCTAGGCGTGGATTTAAAGCCATTTATTTTGAACAATAGATTTTACAACAAATTTTATAGGGAGCATTAAATAATCGCTTGCATTATGAATTGTGAGTGTTAATATTGGCATGTTTGGGATGATGTAATAAAAAAATTAACTAATTAATCTTTCTATTATAAAATAAAGTATTGGTATTATTTTATTTTTTTAAAAGAAATTTAAAAAATTTCCATAATAACTATCTGGTGCAGATGAAATTAGTAAATATGGAAGTGCAAATTGTAAATACAAATATCATATTTCAAATAGACGATAGTATTGCTCATAAAAAAAGCTGTAATTTTAAAAACATATTTTGTTGATTCCAATAAAAAGCACTTATCACTTTCTCTTCGTATAAACAAAAGATTTGCAGACAAAGATATTAAATTAAATTGATTAAAATAATTATTATATTTTAAAAATTTTAATATTTTTAATTAAAATAATTAAATAATATATTAAAAATAAATATTTTTATTTTAGTTTATTTGTATTTTTTATTTAGTAATTTTTTAAATTCTTTATATTTTCTTTAAGTAATATTTCATAATCCAGTTTATTAAAAATAATAATAATATTTTATGATAATAAATATATAAGTAATAATAATAATAATAATTATATTAGTAATCATTTTAATAATTATTGTAATATATAATAAAAATTATAATTATAATTATAAAAATAATTATTTTAAAAATAATAATTATTTTTCATCTTAATAATTTAAATAAAAATAATTTTAATTACATAAGTAATTTCTTAATCTTTTAATTTGATCATTTTATAATTTGTTTATTAATTTTTTTTATCATTCATATCAATCAAATTATTCACAAACTCTCATAAACTTTTTTTCTCATTTCTCTATATTTCTTACCATCTTTTCCTTTCTAAATAACTCTACTTTCACTTCTCTTTCTCTTTAAATCTATCTATTTCCACCCCTCAAATCCATCCTCTAATCTAAACACGCCCTAAATGTGATAATGAATTATTATAGGATTAGAATTGACATTATTTAAATAATATACTCTTATATTAGGATAAAATAGGTTATGCGTCAACGAAATTATTTTAAAATATTAAATATATTATAAATTAATTCTGTTATTATTTATGTCTTTCTCAAATTTAAATACATTTTTTAGGTCATATATATGACTATTATTAAAAAAATTAAAAATATATTTAAATTTTAAACAAACATAATGATTATAAAGTTTTAAGGTTATATTTAAATTTTAAAAGAATGAATTTTCTTTTGAGAAGCTAATATTTTAAATTTTATAAAAACATAAAATCACATTTTATCTTTTTTATTATTACCATCTTCGTAGAATAATGATTATTTATATATAAAAAGAACGTTTTTTGTACATTTTTATAATATTTGTTGTATTATGCGCTAGCCAAAATAACAGTTTCTTTTGAGAATTTACAGATTACAAATGAACATTAAAAATATTATGTATGGGCCAAATTATATTCTAAACTATGGGCCTTGGTTCAACTGTGCTGGGCTGAATTCTGTGCTCAAAGCTCTCTTTTCTATTATTTTATTCCATTTATTCAATCAAGTGGATGAATTTTGTTTTATTCATCTAAATCAATTTTTTTAAATCCAACTCAACGGGGAAAGATACGAGCTTTAAAAGTTGAATAGATTTAATAAAAATTCAATAAAATTTAATAAAATAATATTTTTATAATATAATAAATATATGATAAATTTATTAATAATAATAATTTTTATAAAAATAATAATAATAAAAATTATTATTATATAAATATAAAATATATTAAAGAGTAAAAATAAATAATTATTAAAATAAAATAAAAATAATTATTATTTAAAATTGACATAATTAATATAAAATAAATAAATTAAAATATATTATATCTTTTATAAAATAATTATATTAAAAATTTTGATTATAAATATTTTTTTACTGATTCAATCCAAAACTTCAGTCAATTTTTATTTTTATTTTTTTAATTTTATCTCAATTTAATAAAATTTGATTATTTAGACATAACATATTAATCAAGTTTCGAGTGCAATAGATTAAACAGGCGGACAGGCCGATTTTAAAAACAATTATCTTAACAAAATATATAAATATATATTCTTTGACTATATTTCTAATTTCTATCCTTCTTATTTTATTGGTTATTATTAAGCATTCATGTCATATTCTTTGTTTTCTCTTTATATTGGAGGTTAAATCAGAATCCTCTACGTCCAAATCGAATTGTAGACGATGCAATTTTTAATCTACCAGATAATAATTAGAAAGTGGACATTCCTCAATATCGTGTAAAGAAGATAGAACATTTGCATGTTATGTACGGGAAGTAAAAAAAAATGCACAGAAAATCTAACTCGCCTATGGGTTCATTTAGGCTTCTCTGCTTTTAATTTTTTTTTTACTTTGAAACATTGCATTGAGGAATGTACAATGTTTAGATGAAATAAATAAAATTGTTTGTCTCCTCAACCGTCTATTACATTCATAAATTGCATTCATTCACTCCCACTTTAATAGTAATAAGATAATAAAAAGAAAGGATTGATTGATATGCTTCCCATGAATCGGAATAAGATGAAGAGCAAACCTTTCGTCATGAAGTTCTCTCCAACGGTTGATCTGCCTAAGGAAGATAATAAGCCTCAACCGTTGGATATCCAAGTTAATAAGGAAGAGGGAGTAAGGATGTCGTTACATTTGTTCATGCCTCGAATTGAATAAAGTTGTACCATGAAGATACACAAACGTTTTCAAAAGTGCGTCAAAATAATCAAAATGCACCATCGTCAAAATAATCAAACCACTCATCATCACTATTGACTAAAAACACAAAATAAAGTTTTACCTCGTCATAAATAAAATTGTGTTTCGCCAATGTTGTGCAAAAAGAAAACAAAAATCAAAAGAAGCCCATAGAAGCTAAAGGCAAAAAAGAAAAGGCAAGATACCCGGTAGGAAACCCATTAAGGGGGCTACACAAAAGTTAGGGTAAACCCGCTAGGAGACCCGAACAACAATAAAGGGTAGCCTAGGAAAAAATTAGGGTTACAAAATAAAGTCCGCTAGGATTCCCAAAACAAGAAAAGAGGAAACCTAGACAAAAGTTAGGACATAACACAACATCTTAGGCTGAAAACCCAAAGGGCAGACTAGGGAAGTTAATCAGTCATGATATACGCCATCGAATAATCATTTAAGCCGCCACCTCATAAACAAAACGTTTGTCTAAACTAGACTAAACACTCTAACCAACTTTGGCTAGCCGTGCTTACAAAAACCATTTTTTGTCAAAATAAAACAATTCTAAAACACAAGACTTTGAATAAATAACTTTCCTTCTTTTCTCTTGACCCTTACCACCACGACATTCTAGTAATTAGTAGGGAAATGTGGAGATAATAATCAATATGAGGATTGACACCCCCAAGAAAAGGGAGGGGCACATTGACATGGCAAGTCACTTTACAATCAACAAAATCATTCTTCAGTCATGGCAAATTCAAGACGGCAAAATGAGTACAACCTATCATGTCGACAAAAGCACATAATGACAGAAACACGTCAAAAGCAAAAGCACATTTGATTAATCCTTTTGAAATATTAATCGAAAGAGCATTGTAGGATGCATATCGCTCACATTGCATGCATATGATAGGGTCTTATCTCTCAAAAAAGAAGAGAAAGAAAAAATCAAAATAAAAAGAATAATGCATGCTAGGAGATTCTTAAGCAAAAGTTAGGGTAGCTCGCTAGATCGAAAACCCGCAAAGGGCGAGATAGGAAAAAATTAGGGTATTCATATAAAAAGGAAAAAAGTTCGTTAAGATATCCTAGGTAAAAATTAAGGCAG